GAAAGAATGGAAGAATCTATAAAAAGTCAAGTAATGAAATGGATCTCTGTAATTTCTGTGGTGTGGTTCACAACTTAGTATTTCTTACTTCGATTTTAAAAATACTTGCATTTGTTTTTATCAAGATATATGCCAAAGTTCTTCATGAGAAGGCAGGTGTTAATGTAATAAAAATATTATATACAAGATTAAAGAACCCATGTGTTGTATAATAGGATAGAAGCTTGTTTTTCTGTTAACTGCATTGGTTGGATTAGTAATATGCTTTACTAAAATATATATAGTGCTCTGTGCTGTGTGTATGTGTGAGAGCGTATGTGTATACATATATATTTGGTATGATTAATGTTATTTTTCAAATACATTATTTAGGGGGTTTATGTGTTTGTAATCCACATCACTAGATTGTAAGCTCTTCAAGAAAAGAATAGTATTGCTTAATTTTAATTTTTCCTCTGTATTACCACACAGCATCTATGATTGTGTTTGTACTGTTGGCATATTGGATTCCTCTACAAAATAGCCCACCTTCCAAAAAAAGCATACCAAGAGTTTTAAAATCAGACTCTTATGAAAATTAAAATTCTTTATAGTTTAATCTTTTAGAACAATTAATGCTTGAGACAAAGGTTCTTTATGAAAATAAAAATTTCCTTTGCCCTTCAGTGAAGGCAGAGGGCATATATGGGGGAAGAGAAAGGGGCTTGCTAAGGTACTGTTTCCCGACTTTACAGGGTTCTTCAAATTTAATGAGAGAAGGACCATCTTTACTGTATCATACACAGGGCCTCTTTGAATATATAAATAGTGTTTGGCTAGCTGTACACATCTTTTGGCAGGCTGTGTGTAAGCAGGATCTGTCCTTTGACCAGGATCAGGGGAGATACAGCACAGAATCATAAAATATATAGGAAATTGAATATCAATATTTAGTGAAGAAAATTCAGAGCTGCCTGCCCTTACTGATATACCATAATGCTCCCTTACTGTAGGGATAATGCTGGGTTGAAAATTTGGTACTCCTGACAGCATCTGTCTCAAAAAACTGGCTTTACCACCCAGTTCCTGAGTAATTTTAGTTAAATCTATAGCATACATCCCAATAACTTGGAATAAAGCTGGTATATAATGCTGCAGAATATAATATATAATGAAACTATAGAATATGTGTAATATATATGGTTTCATAATTTTTTTGACCTGTGAAAGTTTTTAAAAATTTTAATTCCACTGTAGGTAACATACAGTGTTACGTAAGTTTTGTTAATTTACCTTGAATTAGTCCTGTACTAATTTGCTACGTGTATTTCCAAACCCGTGTCTGCAGATATCTCCAAGACTCATTTTGTATGTTGCTTAAAAACCCAAATGTCTAAAGTAAATTGATATATTTACTGTTCTTCTTCTCCCTTTATTTTGTGGTCAAAACATGTTTTATTTTTTCTCTCCCTACTTGGATCATATATTTATATATCAGTTCCTTTCACTTCTGTTACATTTATCTTTTTCAAAAAAAAAAATTTAGCCAAATAAAGATCAAAATTTAAAATCATCTTTTTTCTTTTTTTTTAGGATTTTATTTTATTTATTTATTTGAGAGAGAGAGAGAGAGAGTACAAGAGGGGATAGGGTCAGAGGGAGAAGCAGACTCCCTGCCGAGCAGGGAGCCCGATGCGGGACTCCATCTAGGGACTCCAGGATCATGACCTGAGCCGAAGGCAGTCGCTTAACCAACTGAGCCACCCAGTGCCCTAGAAGCATTTTCTGTTTTTGAACCCTATCAGTTTTTTGTTGATCTAAGCTAGGACAGTGTTTCTGAAACAAGGGTATGTTTGAGAAAAACTGCATTATCTGGGTGTTTTTTAAGAATGTGAATACTTGGGCTCCACCTGGGCCTAATGAAACTTGTTTTAGGAAATCTGCATTTCTTATTTAAAAAAAAAAAGCATCACAGTTGATTCTTAGGCTTATCAGTTTGAAAACTGCCCTCTTATGCAAAAAGTTTAATAAATACAGAATTTAGCTTAATTAAATTTTATTTCCCCAGCTAGACTAGTACATGTTCTGAACACAGAGATCTTGTTCTCTCCCCTTTTCTCTCTGTATAAAAGAGGGCTGGTTGAGGACTGGATCTTACTCTTTGGTTTGCCCAGTATGGCTTGGTGCCTTTATGTTGGTAAAATCTTAATATCAAATTGAATTGTTTGTTATCATAGTTACCACTTCCCTGCAAAGCTATAGTTCAAATTGTTGAATATGTGGTTATGAATATTGGGGGCTTTTGAAGCTATCCAGCATGGAAAAGAAGCTTCACTCAATTTTTCTTAGGATAGCAGACTTAGAAAGACCTTGAATATCATCTGATCTGTTTCTGTCATATTATGGTGGAGGAAATTGTGGCCTGGATTGCTTGAGAGCCATGCACAAAATGACAAGATTAATTGCAGAGTCAACACTAGATTCCTAATCCAGTGCTCTTAATTTCATCAAAGAACTCTGGAGCAGCAGTGATTGGGTTAAATTTCAGTTGGAGGTTTTCTGCTTAGATTCTTCTTCTTAGGAAAGAAGAATCTTTGCAGAACCAAAAACATCTTGATATTTGTAATCAGGACATCTACCTTTACTCATAACACTGATGCTTTGAAGTAGATTATTGAAAGAGGATCTTTGCCAGTGAAATCCTTAACTAAAGATGGGTGGGTATGAGATGTAAAGCTCACTTGGCATACAGTTTTGTTGTTGTTTTTTAGTGGAACTTTTCTTCTCTGTCCTGACATTTCCATGTCTCTATTTATAGCAGTGATCTCTTTGGAATTTGCCTTCTGATTCTGTTTGTTCTTTTATGTTGCTTCATATTAACTGATATTCTCACTTCATTTTTGTTAAGATATATTTGAAAGGATTTGAAAAAAGAAGGAATTAAAATTTTTATTTATTTTATTTTATTTTATTTTTTAAAGATGTTATTTATTCATTCATGAGAGACAGAGGGATAGAGAGAGAGAGAGAAGCAGAGGGAGAAGCAGGCTCCCAAGGAGTAGGGAGCCTGATGCGGGACTCGATCCCAGGACCCTGGGATCATGACCTGAGCCGAAGGCAGACGCTTAACCATCTGAGCCACCCAGGCGCCCCAGGAATTAAAATTTTTAAAAGGAGCATCTGAAATTGTTATTTTTCTTTGATTTACCATAATCATTGTTTATAACAGGTCATCTAATTGTAGTACCTAGTGATACAAATACTGATTTTTCAAGATAGAATGGTAGTTTATTTTTTAAATTTAAGATCATATGAAGCCTACAATAAATTTCTTTTATCCAGGACAGGTAATGCTTTTAGATTCTTAACCTTGCTCTTTAAGGATGTACTTTGATACAAGTGAAGACCAAGAGATTTTTACTTAGAGCCTTTAAAATGGTAAACTCCTTAAGGGTGGGAACCATTTTATTTACCTTTGTGATTAACATAATACCTGTCATCCAGTAGGTGCTTATTTATTCGATTCAGTAAAAATGCTGGGCATTGTTCTAAGTGCTGGAGATAAAGTAGTAAACAAAATAGACAAATATGCCTACCCTCATGGAGCTTATTCTAGGGAGTGAATGTTGAATGAAACCATGAATCACTGCAAAGACTCCATCTTTGTTTTCAGATAGTTCTTTGCATCAGTCTAACAGAAAATATTCTAGAGTTGTGAGTTCGAGCCCCACATTGGGTATAGAGATTACTTAAAATCTTTAAAAAAGTAACCTGTAGTTTATTAAGTAATGGGTTGAAGAGTTGGAATGGAAGAAACTTAATGATCAGATCATTCATTCATTAAACATTTACTTCTTGAGTGGGCATATGTAAAATTATTTGAAATACTCACATAATTGCCAGTTATTGTCATCCTGATTCTCATTCACTTGTGTTCTGTGTGCAACCCTGTGTAAAGGCCTCAGTTGCTAGTCAAGCCACAACCAGGGAATTTCATCTCAAATCAGATGCTACTGAGTGCCTCTGACTATGCTGACCAGCAACTCCATATTCACCAAAGTTCTAGTTGTTTGCTTGTTTATTGTCTGTTCTTCACACCAAAGCGTGAGCTCCACAGAACATCTTGTGTATTTTAGTTAGCACTGAATCCCAAGTACATAAAATAGCATGCCACAGTGTGTTTTAGTAAATAGTAACCAATCAGTCCCTGAGCACTCAAAATACAATTAATTCCCTTTTATTGGCATAACCTACATCTAGTCTTCACACTACTCAAAAAATAAAAATCTTCAACTCTAATATTCTTCGCTTAAGAAGAACTCTCTCTCTTGTTTACTAATCTATTCTATCTGTTCTTCTGACACTTCCCTTTTCTTTCAATCTCTATTACTTCCTGGCCTTAGTTTGCCAGTCCCTTCAAGAATTCCCAACTCCCATTCCCCTTGTCTTTCAGTAGTGTCCACTCTTTAAATCCACAACTCCTAATCGCTTAAAATAGACACTGGAGTTAGATGAGCTTCAGTTCACCATTTGTTACCTAAGTGCTAGGTTATTTAACCTTGCCAACTTTAACCTTTTTTGTTTCAGTTAGTTCATTTGTGTTTAAATCTGTTTTTATTTTTAAATTAAACTCTACACCCAACGTGGGGCTCAAACTCACGATCCGAAGATCAAGAGTCAATATGCTTTATTGACTGAGCCAGCCAGGCACCCCCTGAGTTTCAGTTTGTTTTTTGATACCCTAAGCATTGCTTTGAAAATTAAAAATGAGATTATTGTAACCAGATGCTATTTCCCATAAGTAATGAAAACCCGTATTAAATAATAACCAAAAAATCCAGGCATAGAGTGGCCCTACAGCTGGTTGATTTATAGCTCAGCAATACATGAGATACCCATGTTTTTTTCATCTTTGCCCTCTGCCATCCTCAGCTAGTGGCTTAATGCTCCTAATGATTGCATAAGGGTTGCCATGGTTCCCAGTGTTATGCAGTCATAACTGTAAAGTGGAAGAAGAAAGTTTCTTGTCTTTAAAAGCAAGGAAACCTTTCTACTATCCTCTTCCCCTGGACACCAATCGGACTAACCTTGTGCTGACCAAAGCTGAATCACAGGCTTACTCTAGCAAGTAACCAGACTTGGTTCTGAATAATTAAGATTCATCTCCTGGGGATAAGGGAGAGGGCCCCACCTTCCTAGTAATAGTTATTATTACTAATGCATTTGTGAATCTTAGGACTCTGTCCTTGGAACTTTTTTCCCCATCTACATTCACTGTAGTATAAACTCTAGCCTCAAGGTTTTAATTTCACCTCTACTCCCAATTTTTTATCTTCCGTCTGGACTGTTTCTATGAATATTAGACTCCTATATCCAACTGCCTATTAGATACTACCATTCATAAGTTTAATAAACATCTTAAACTTAATATGTCCAATATTGAACTCCCCAATTCCCCACCCCTCAGCTCTTCTATCTTCCTATATTAGTCAATAGCAATTTTGTTCTTTCCATTTGCTGAAGCTGAAAAATCTTGTAGTTATTATTGATTTCTCTCATCCCACATTTGATTCACCAGGAAGTTCTATTGACTCTACCTTTAAAATTAATAATACCTCCACTGTTACATCATTGTCCAAACCACCTGAATTATTGCAATACATTCTTATTGGTCTTGCATCATTGCCCACCATACTTTCCCACTCTTTTCTTAAAATAGAAACCAAAGCAATCCTGTCATTCTGCATAAAACTCTCCAATGGCTTCTCATCTTCCCTCAATACAAACCAAAGTCTTTAGCAGCCTACAAAACTCTACACCATCTGGCCCCTTATTATTTCTCTGAATGTCCCCACCCCATCATTTTGACACACCTGCACCTTGAAGATGCCTGGCATTCTTTCACCTCCAGACTTTTGTACTTTGATTTTTCCCTCTACCTGGTTTCAACCCCCACATCTATATGTAGCTTTCTCCCTTTCCTCTTACAGGTCATAGTACAAATACCATTTTCTCTGTGAAGCCATTTCTGCCCACCCCATCTAAAATTTTAATTCTTGGGCGCCTGGGTGGCTCAGATGGTTAAGCGTCTGCCTTCGGCTCAGGTCATGATCCCAGGGTCCTGGGATGGAGTCCCACGTCAGGCTCCCTGCTCCTTGGGAGCCTGCTTCTCCCTCTGCCTCTCTCTCTCTCTCTCTTTCATGAATAAATAAATACAATCTTTAAAAAAATAAAAAAATAAAATTTTAATTCTTTTATTTTCCTTAGCTCCTACCATCATCTAACATTGCATATAGTAGTTTTTTTTTAAATATTTTTAATTATTAAGAAATCTTTATAGGAATGCCTGGGTGGCTCGGTCAGTGAAGCAGCTGACTCTTGGTTTCCTCATGATCTCAGGGTCCTGGGATTCAGCCTGGAGTGGAGCTCCATGCTCTGCACAAAGTCTGCTAGAGATTCTCTTCCTCTTGCTCCTGTTTTACCCCTCCCCCTACTCTCACATGCTTGCTTTCTCTCTCAAATAAAAAGATCTTTAAAAAAAATCTTGATAGGGATGCCTGGGTGGCTCAGAGTTAAGCATGGGCCTTCAGCTCCGGTCGTGATCCCAGGGTCCTGGGATCGAGTCCTGCATTGGGCTCCCTGCTCGGCGGGAAGCCTGCTTCTCCCTCTGCCTGCCACTGCCATTCCCCCTGCTTGTGCACACTCTCTCTTTCTCGCTCTCTGATAAATAAATAAAGAAAATCTTTAAAAAAAAAGAACAAAAAATTCTTTAAAAAAATATCTTCTATCTTCCCCATTAGAACGTAAAGTACATGAGGCAGGAATTTTTGTTCATACTGTATCCCCAGTACCTAGAAAGGTGCTTTGGCATATGGGAGGTCCTTAAAATGTTTGTAAAGAAATGAATGTTTAGTCATCATGATTTCTTGGTTTCAGCTGGGTCCAATTTAGTAATCTTACTTGTTTCTGATCAATTTCCTTCCTATTTCTCATAACTGCTATGCCAGACCATCACCATTCTTATCAAATGCTCTTTTATTCTTTGCTCTTTAGTAGTGGATTTCCTTTTTAAAAAAATTTTTGGGCACCTGGGTGGCTCAGTTGGTTAAGCGACCACCTTTGGCTCAGGTCATGATCCTGGAGTCCCGGGATCGAGTCCCGCATCGGGCTCCCTGCTCAGCGAGGAGCCTGCTTCTCCCTCTGACCCTCCCCCCTCTCATGTACTCTCTCTCTCTCATTCTCTCTCTCTCAAATAAATATTTAAAAAAAACTTTTTAAAGAACATGGATAGCATCTATGAACTTCTTGTTCTTCCTAGTCTATCCTCTTGTCTTCAAATTTATAAATTGGTCCTTAAATATTTTCTGTTAATCTCAGAGCCTACTTCTCATTTTGTTCAAATTTTATCTACTTATACTCTTGGTACCAAACCCTCCAATCTCTCTGAACCTTACTTAAACAATAATTTCTTAAGTATTTTTATATATCTCATTTTCCTCTACATTGTTTTCTTCTTCCCTTGACCATCTTAAAATTCCCTTGACCATCTTAAAACCTCCTTTATTCCTCCCTTATATAGAATTCTCTTCTTCCCTTCAGATGACTTTCTTGAAATGTTTAAATTTACTCTTCTATTTTCATGCCCCTCTTGTTCAGTTCCCTGGATTCTGGCTTTTGCTTTTCATTGCCTATAATTACATCTACTTCAGAGGATTGTTGTGAGAGATTAGATGAGGTTATATTTTTGTTAGAATAGTGTTTGCACATAATTAATGTTTTTTTGAGTGCTTACCATGATTACCGATAACTCTTGAAACCAAAATCACTCTTGTGGGTACTCTTCTATTACCTTTCTTGACTTTCCTGTATCCTTCATGAAATGCTCCTCCTTTTGATTTTGGGACACCAGTGGTATCAGGATGCTTTCACCTTCAAGTAACAGAATTTCTCTAACAGTAAGTCCAATGATGGGTGGTTCCAGGATTGATTCAGAGATGCAACAACCCTATTGAGAACCCAGGCTCTTGCTCTCTTTACCCTCTACCATTCTCAGTGTCACAGATGTTTATCTTCAGGGTTGTAAGATAACAAGCATTGTGTTTTGATTTTCCAAAAGTAGAGAGGCAATGCGGGGGTTTCTCCTGGGCAGGTATTTCTTTATAGGGAAGACAGTCTGCCTGAAGTTCCCCAGAGCATTTCCCTTACATCTCATTGGCCACCCCTACACCAATCACTGGCAAAAGGAAATGTGATTACTATGATTGATTTAAACTAACCATGAGTCACTCCCCCGGGACTGCGGAAACTCCCCCTTCCTTGAGTTCATTATTTTGGAAGAAATTGGTATCTGTTAAGCAAGAAAGAAGTTAGGGATGGCTATTTGGTTCATAATCAGTAGTATCTGCCATTGCATTCTCACTTGGTCTCTGCTCCTTCTCAGTGTTTTTCATGGTCTCTTGATTGATGTGCCCTTTAAATGCTGGGTATCATAAAGTTCTGTCTTTGATTCTTTCAAAAATTATTCCTCTTTTCCACTTTAAAATACCACCTGTGTTATAATATTTTCTAAAGCTTTATTTCAGCCAAGACTTTTTTCCTAAGCCCCAATTAAGAATATCCAACTCTCTCCTGGACATCTTCATCCACATTCAATTCAATTAAATATTGTTTTACTAGGTTTTTGGGAGTCAAATAAATCTTCGCCCTATATGATCTTACATTATAGTTGGGGAGTTAGCCAGAGAAATGAGTTGTTATAACATAGATAGTAATTAGGAATGCAGTCTTAGCAAGCGATAAAATTTACCAAGTATACAAGTAACGTAGATGAATGGGTGATTAGTAGGGTGGTAGGCATGTTCTGGTGGATCTCCTTTTTCCCTTCAAATGTACTCTTCCTATATTCTACATTCTATACTGTCAGTAGTAGCGCAAATGAGCACACCTTTGTTTAATCTAGAAATCAGGGCAATCTAAAATCTTTCCAAATCCCCAGATACAGTTGGTTGACAAGTTGTACACATTCTACTTTTATTACTTAAATTTACCCATTTGTCTTTTTATATCCTAGTCATACTTTAGGTCCCTGTAATTTCTCACTTCATTGAATTATTTACTTAGTAAAAGTTAATTGAATAGCAATGTATTATAAGGCTTTGTACTAGGGGAAAAAAAAGTTGTAGAAAAAACCCCCAAACTGGAACTCTTCAAGGGATGTTACAACCCTGTGGGTGAGGCATAAGCACACAGATAGTTATGTAGTTGTGATAAGTGATAGAGTGGAGATACTGGGAAAAATATGGGAACTAAAGGTCAAGGGAACCTAATCGAAGCTGGCACTCAGATTTGCCCAACTAGAGGCTGAGTCTCAAAGTGGTAGTAAGCTCCATGCCCAGAGAGAAGAGTGGAAAACACCCACACCATTTTCTTTACACATACCAAAGAAATATCACTTCAGAGACACTACTTTGGGTGACTATATTTAATATCGATGTTGCTCAAAAACAGTTTTTTAACTGATCATCATTAATGTAGAAGATTAACAGTAGTAGTATATCATACAGTTGATCATTATTCACCAGTTCTGTACTTTTTTTTTTAAGATTTTATTTATTTATTTGACAGAGAGAGACACAGCGAGAGACGGAACACAAACAGAGGGAGTGGGAGAGGGAGAAGCAGGTTTCCCGCTGAGGAGGGAGCCGGATGCGGGGCTCAATCCCAGGACCCTGGGATCATGACCTGAGCTGAAGGCAGACGCTTAACGACTGAGCCACCCAGGCGCCCCAACTCTGTACTTTCTTATTTGCCCTCACTAAAATTTATTTATATCCCTGAAATCAGTATTTGGGATGTTTTCCCGGTCATTTGCAGACATATGCAGAGGCAGAGCAGCAAAAAAATATGAATCCTATGTTCCCAGCTGAGGTCCAACAAGGCAGTGCTTAGACTTCTTATTTTAACGCTCATAACAAGCCTTTGTGATCTATTCGTGCATTTTTGTATTTTTTGCACTAGTATGCATTTTGTTGGTGATTTCACTCTTTAAAGAAATGTTTCAACATAGGGCTGAATTGCTGTCTAGTGTTCCGAGGCACAAGAAGGCTTCGATGTGCCTTATGGAGAGAA